TTATCAAACATCTATATTTTAAAGTAATATATTTTATTCTATATGTAAATTATAAAACAAAAAAAATATACAAGACTTTATTTCATAAATCATCAGTTATGAATTTAAGTTGAACACAAGTTAAATCAAACACCCGCGTGGGGGCGCGGGTCAGTATCTAGTTATTATTAAAGATAAGATACAAAGATAAAATTTTAGTACGAATCCGCGAAAGACGAGTTTCTAGTATCAATCCAATGTGGCACCGGCGTATTGACATATGAGAAAACATGATTCCTCGTTCGAGCATGTAATATTGCAAAGAAGTCCGCTTGGAAGTTACTGGTTCTGCTTTGATAAACCACTTTTCCGTTCTGGTAGGACGCCCATAGGGTTTTAAGCTCGTCAAGTTCAGCTGTGAATGCTGGCCAATCTTTCGGTTTAGCGATCATTTTAACTAATTCTTCAGAATCAGTGACAAAATAATCGCAGAACCGTGGATATCTGAGTAAACACTTCAAGGCCCATACTAAGCTTTTCAGCTCAGCGTAAAGAGGCGAGATTAGCTTGTGACAACCTTGGAGCCCAAGGAGATCTATAGATCCGTCTTGTAATTGTAGGATCGATCTGATTCCACTCATAGCTCCATCATTCTTCCACGCACCATCCACCCTGCATATAAATGTAGGTAGCTCAGGAGGATCACTTAATACTTGCTCTGTGGTATTGTCATCTGGGTCAATCTCTTTGTTGGCCAAAAACCATGCATTACATTCTCGTAGTGCCAGATCTAATGTATCTGCTGGTGAGAAAGTTCGACCGTTGAATAGTTTTTCATTACGCGCCTTCCAAATATACCATATAAGCAAAGGAAAGACTCTGGTTATTCCCTCCATGTTGCCTCCAACATTTTCCCAATAGATTAGGTCATCTATGTTGGTGTACAGGTTTTGTGAGGGAAAGACCTCCGGGTATGATAGGGTTGTTGAGAGGGTCCATCATTTCTTAGCTAGAGGACATGTGAAGATCATGTGGTTAATTGTTTCCTCTTCATGATCACATCTTGGGTAGCTTGGGTCATTTCCGATGTGTCTCTTAAAAAGCCGTTCGTTAAATGCAATTGATCTCGAGAGAGCCTGCCATAGGAAATGTTTAAACTTATTTCCAGTTTTGACTTTCCACACTCTTTCCTTTAATGGGTTAGTAGAAGGAAACTGATTTCGAAATTCGGTCTCACTATTTGGTTTTGATCGTGCAAGCCTATAGCTTGATTTGACCGTGTAATTACGAGATGTGTTTAGATTTTCACAATATCCATCTAGTTTAGGATTTATGCTGAGATGTAGACTACGTACCAACGGGATATCATTGGGGTGTAGAAAATTTCTGAGCTTAGAAGTATCCCAATCCCTATTCACCGGGTCAATGAGATCCGCCACTTTAAGATTTGGATCAAAATTGGTGGTTACCATAGGAGGTCTTGCGGTCTCATCTGGTAACCAGGGATCTTCCCAGACCCATGTCTGATTTCCTATTGTGCGTCTAAGGCCTTAGTTAACTAAATATTTTGCTGCCATAATACTTATGCAACTGTAAGAAGGTCTCGATCTTTTTGGAGCTTTGAAGAGATGTGAATTACGGAAGTACCTTCCTTTAAAAACTCTTGTAAATAATGAGTTAGGGTTTTGTTCCAATCGCCAAAGTTGTTTAGCCAATAAGGCTATATTAAATTCTTCGAACAAGCGGAAAGCCAACCTTCCCTCTTCTTTTGGGCGGCATAGATTGTCCCATGCTATCCAATGCATACCTTTAGAATTAGAGCTGGAGCTCCACCAAATGTTTGAGACTGCACCGGAGATTTTTTTACATACTCCTTTAGGAGAAAAATAACACGACATAGGGAATGTCGGAATTGCTAATGCTACACATTTGATCATTACTTCTTTTCCGGATTTGGAAAGATATTTCGCAGTCCATCTATTGGCCTTTCGATTCATTATTTAAGTCTTTTTAATCCCGCAAAAAAAATAAGATGTCAAAATAACATCTTTAATAACATTCAGTGAAATTTAGTTGACAAAATACATTTATTTCTTTAATTACATTTAATAAAACCTAGAATCTCATTACAATGCTCGAATACGTAAGATACATCTATATTATTAAAACTGAAATATATTTTGGTACTGTTTGGAAACATAGATAGTAGTATTAAAAAATTATGTTTGGAACCATTAATAGCATTATCCTTTTATTTATATATTTAGTTATTGCATTTACAAAAAAATTAAATATTTTTATTTTATTTTTATTTACAGATTCTACCACTACATTTAAAATTAATTTTAATTAATTAATTATAATTCCAAATATTATCTAAGCAAATCCATATCCATATTCATATATTGACCATTATTATTATTGTATGAATATTAACTAAATCGCATGTATTAAAGGAAGATAACCTTTTTTAGTATGGTCAATTTAGTTAATATTCATATAATCTTAATAATGGGTGATGCAAAAAACATTAAAATTTTAGTATGTTATTTCATTTTAAAATAAATTAACAAAAAGACAACAGGTTAATGTATGAATAGACAATTACATAAAACTGCATCAAGTTAGAAAAATTTTAATATAATATTATGTGCAGATAAAAGTTTATTATCAAACTTCTGTATTATAAAATAATAAATTTTACTCTATATGTAAAATATAAAACATAAAAATATACATGGGATTTTTCTATAAAATCAGCGGATTATGAATTTATTTTAAATATAAGTTAAATCAAACATCCGTGCGTAGTTAAGTTCTAGTAATCAATTAATTGTAACCATGAGTTTAATGTAGTCAATGAATATACATATTGTATTGGCTTGCAACTTGCAAGCCAAGATACCTAATTATCTAAATGTCATAATTCATGATCCATGATCCATCGTGATATTTTCCATAAGACTTGGTGGTACACTTCTTAATTATGCTATTCTTTATCTACATTCGTTTATCCTCTGTTTTTGTTTATTCTAGAGACATTATCACCTTTTTAAGAACGGATTGGAATCTAGTATGTCCATACATTTGCTTGCAAACAAACATGCTTAGTACATATTATAAATCAAGTCCCCAAATCATTTCTTACTAGGTGTTTTGCCCGCATATGCGGGCTTAATCAATTTATCAATATTTATTAGTATATACATTATAAAGTGAAAGACTATGCTAATTACTTTTTACGTCTTAACCATTTTTATTTTTCCTACTTTTTGTTGTTTTTATTCATTTCATCTTTGTTTTCTTAAGCACCACTAAAATCTATAAGACAATGAGAATAGAACCACATCTCAAATATACAATAAATTAAAATACAATTAATAAATAAATCTTCTTTTCTTTAACTCTCATTACCTCTGCTCTGATTGCATCAGAAAAATCATCAATATATTATTGTAGTGTACTTCACAATTGCATCTTCAAGAACCATCTCAATGGAAACAACTTTTTTTTTTATCTCCATAGCTTCCACAATTTCATAACCTGCACTTTTAATTTGTATCTATTGATCCCTTGTTTAACGCCATGAGACGTAAGGATCAACTTACATGTATAACGAATAAATGGTTTGTTTTTGTTTATAAAGATAAATCTAATGCTAATTAGGATGTATAACGAATAAATATAAAAACGTGGAAACCGTCCAAATCACATACTCAAAGATATACATACACTAATTTTTAATAATAAATATATTCATATATTGTATTATATTGTAAATATTATAAATATTTTTAATAATAAATTATATAAATTATAACATAGACTAATTATTCATTAAGGGTATAACCGATATTAACCACTCCAACTTTTAACGTGGGAGCTCCATTGCGAAAAATCACTTCGCAAATAATAGTATAGACTAGGTGTTTTGCCCGCACATACGGGCATAATTTTCATATAATTTATTATTAATCTATATTTTATTAATTCAAACCAAAATAATAAGTTATAATTTATGTTTTAATTTAATTAAATGACAACACTCACATAATAAAATATTTTTAAAAATATATTTTTACAAATGTGTTGCTTTAACTTATTTTAATTATAATTTTTTCTATCTTAATTTTTTATTTATATATTAAAAAATATATTTTCAAGATAACAATATAATACATAAGAAGTATCTTATTTTATCAAATTATATTTTTTCATAGAAATTCATTTTTATTTTATAATAAATTTTATATGAAATTATTAAAAATATGACAAATAATCAAAATTATCTAAATCATGAAGAAATTACAAATCAGATAATTCACTTAAATTTTCTAATAGAAAATATATGTTCAAGATAACAATCTAATAGATAAGAATTTTTTTTTTTTGTAAATCTAGTATTATTATATACATTCATTTTATTATTTAATAAATTATATATGAAATTATTAAAATATGATAAATAAGCAAAGTATAAAACCATGGAGAAATTGATAAATCAGTATTGTTTTTTTATATTTAACTATTAATATTTTAACTTAATTTTGATTTCTGTGATAAAAATATATTTTTAAGATAACAATATAACACATAAGAATTATCTTATTTTCTAAAATTATAATATTATTAATAGAAATTCGTTTTAATTATTAATAATATAATTTTTATATATTAATTTTAGAAAAATATTAAATTATTAATATAAATCCATTTTAATTATATTTAAATACTAAGTTATTAATATAAATTCGTTGTAGATAAATATAATAGTGTTTATATCTTAATTTAAAATTTAAGTTTTATATATAAAAATATATTTCAAGATAAAAACATAATTCATAAGAATTATCTTATTTTAAAAAATATAAGAGTATTAATATAAATTCGTTTTTATTAAATAATAAATTTTATATGAAATTATTTAAATAAGGTAAATAAAAAAATTTACCTAAAATCAAGGAGAAGTTGACAATTAAGCAAATTTACTTCTTAAATAATAGTATAGATATAGATAGATTTTGAAGTAATTAATCAGTACGAAAGGCCACACAATCAAAACTAAACACAAAAATTTATTCGAAAAAGAAAACAAAAGTCTCCTAGTTCCATTTGTCTACTTGATCATGTAAAACAACGACGTACATTTCATGAAGCGACCAACTGAGAAAGACTTAAAGGAAACATGTATTGTGAATCATCAGCAGACACGAGATCGAAGATAACACGAGAACCAGCTTCTGTGGGATGACCGTAGTAATCCCAAAAGAGATATTTTGTTCTGTCCGAACAAACCCTCACCATGGGGAGAGGGAGACAAGGACTCTCCGCGTTTAATTTCCCACGTCCGCAACATGCCGATGTCGCGTCGGCTAAACCTGATATTAGAAAACGCACGCAGCATTTTGGTTTCACTATGTTCAAGGACAAGCCCGGCCGAGTTTTTTTAATGAAGTCTAAATCAGGACCTCATTTTTGTATGGCTAAATAACAACAACTTTGTTTCCAACAAAAATCAAATCTAAAACCGAAAGATTTACTCATTTCCCAAGTCAATAATTACCATTAGACTAATTTCAACATATGCATTCCCCAAGTCAGTTCTTACTACTAGTATACCTTTTTTTTTTGTGTCAACACCACTATAGAATATGTAAGTTTTGGTTCTTTAAAACATTAGATAGTGAATCCTTGAGAAAAATCAAATCACATCTCACCATAGCAATGTATACACAGTTCGGTTATTTATCCCTAAGTTCATTACTCGTGAGTAGTGTTAACGAAATTTAATATTTCAAAATATACGTATTCTCAACGTACCGTAACGTGCAGGGTTGGAGCTAATATCTTGTGTGGAATTGAAAATATCAAAGTAAGAGTAAGTCATTGAGCTTTGTAACTCTTCTTTGAGTTGTTGCAACATCTTTATTAGAGCTTCGTTGTACAAGGAGGCAAACATGTTTACCTCCTCATTGCATTCATAGATCGTCGTGTTCTTCTCTCTTTTCTCGGGTGTGCAACCGAGTTGTGCTACTCCGAATATTAGTAATCTAGGCTTTCCAGTCTCGTGAACTTTCTGTTAGTAAATTTTCCTCGAATTAATTTAGTCATAGATATAATAACGAAGGAAATAACGTATTTTTTACCTTCAAATGCTCTTTGAATTTATCTGCTATAGATTGCATATATTGTTGAGGGTTACTCTTTTGTCGAAGTTCCAGTTTTCTATTATAATCCAAAACATCGTTGCTGCCTATTACGATAACGAATAAAGATTTGGATATGTGAATTTGAGCTTCGGATGATCCAAGCTTTCTCGTGAGTTGTTTATGAATAGAGATCCAATGGTCTAGTTGCTGGGACAGAGGGATAGCTTGTCCCTGAAATGCTTAAGTCAAACAATTAATAACAACAACAACAACAAATTATGGGGATTGATAACTTAGATGAGTGCATACTAAATATCTGAAAGGTTAGCATATCCATCGGAAAATACAATTGGATACATATTCTTTTTTTTTTTAACTCTAAAATACATTTAAATAAAAAATACGAAAGATAGATCTCAAACAAGATATTTTTTTTTAGATAGGATATGAAAACCTTTCATACCATGTGTTAATTTGTTTCTAAATAATTCAATTCTTTAAAAATAAATCAAACATGAATATTGGTTAGTGAAAAACCCATGTGGTCGATCTGAGCTCAATGCCATTTTGTTTGGGTTTTATTTTCAGCTTAAATAAAGTACTACTCTTGATATATAAATATATAAACTTACGGTAGTTTGGTCGTCGCTATTAAAGATTCCGGCACCTGCGGATGCAAAACTAACACCTGTTACGGCGGCGGCTTCTCTCGCATTCTTTCTTAGTAAGAGTGAGAGATACGGGGGCGGTAGTGGTAATCCAAATTTCTCAGCTAATTAATCAACGAAAATAACATATTAAAACTAATTCCAATATATATTTAAAATAACATATTTTTCAAAGAGAAATTGTTAGACATTTTTAGCAACAATTTCGAATTATATGGTTTGGCAACAAATTGTTTCAACTTTCAACTAGGTGTCATTTTTATCAAGCAAAAAAAGAAAACTAGTTAGCAAAAAAAAGAAAGAAAACTAGGGGTAATTTTTTATTTCGTTTAATCTTTTAATGTTCAACACAACTTTTTTCAAAAGTTATTTGAGTAGATATGTAATTTTACAGGATACAAAAATGAAGCAGAAAAGAAAACTAACCGATAACATCGGCGGCGTTTTTGCCGTTACAGAATCTTCCGGTGGGAATATGTTTAGGAAAGTCGATGCCGTTAGGTGGATAAATAGCTTTCCTTGAAGAAAATGGTAAGTAGTTATTGTTTCCGGCATCAACCAAGGAATCTCCGAACACATATACTCCTGGAATCGAAGCCAATGTAGCTCCTTCTAACCCGGGAATGGAATCGAATAAGAGTAAACCAAGGAAAAGGAGGACCGGTGTGTTCACCCGCATCTTTCTTTCCAGGCCCCCCAAGGCTTTTGTTGTATTGAGAGAGATGCAAGACTTGGTATGGCTTATATATAAAGATGAGATATGTTTAGTTTAATAACATATAATTAGGTCGTACCCAACTCCCCATGTCGACCTTCCTCATCAACCACGTATTCGTATAGGATATAGGTGATGTGCCACTAGTTCTTCTATCACGTATGATATCAGAGCATGCTCATGAATTAGCAGTCGTAACCATTAAAAAAAACTAAGCAAAAGAAATATATATATATATATATATATATATATGTGAACGTCCTTTGTGAAAAAGAAATACTTAAGTTTACTTTCCAACAAAGTTGTTTTAGTGATAATGATCGGAAGACTCGAGTATTCAGCAGTCGACCAAATGATCAGGAGATAAAATGATTAAATACTTCTAAACCATTAATAAAGACCTTGGATATAAATTAATGCCGTGTTTCACAAAAAAAAAAAGAGAAGTTAATGCCGTGTAATATATAATCTTCTATTAATATGATTCCACATGATTAAAAGGAAGAAATTAATGCAAACCGTAGACCCATATTTTGGGGGATTTCTGCATGTTACTATTTGGAAAAAAAAAAGAGTAAGACCATTTTTGTTTTTGTATCAAACGCTTCATCTCGATATAAATATTTACAGTAGAACTTTTATAAATTAATAATATTGAGACTTTAAAATTTTATTGGTTTCTATAAATATTATAAGATAAGAATTTTTAATTCTATTGTGTAGACAATAATTATTATTTTTGAAATTTGATATTTATGTTAATTTATTATACTATTTCGTGTATATAATATAAATTGCATAGAATTCTAAGTGCGGGTTATATATAACACTACTAAATTTCATCAAAAATATCTTAAGCATTAAGAAAATAGAAAGATAATTGCAATGTGAATATAAAACAAATAATAAAATGATAGGTCCTTACTTATATAAAATATGTATACATATAATTATTAATTTATAATTTTAATAGGATCATAGATTTACATAGAATTTATAGTTTTAATAAGATCATAGATTTACATAGAATTTACAATTTTAATAGGATCATAGATTTACATAGAAGTTCTATGTAAAACATTATTCCATAAAACCAAAAATTCTCACTAAAACCGTGAAATAATGTTTTATCACCAAAATTATGAAATTATGTTTTTCCCCACTGGAAAAATCACAAAATCGTGTCTTTGCCGAAACCAAAGAGTTTTCCAGTCAAAAACAACAAATCATGTTTTTTTGTCAAAATAGTAAAATTGTGTCCACCAAAAACATTAAATATAGTTTTTTTGTTGAGAAATTGACAATTCTAGTTTTTTTCCGGACCGTGCATAATTATGTTTTTTTTTTACTAAAACTGTAAAATGGAGGGGTTGTCAAAATTAAAAAATCAAGATCCTTATCCAAAACTGTAATTTTCTGTTGAAAACGTAAAATTGATTTTTTCATTAAAATAAACAAAAACTATTTTCATCAAAATGATAAATCATTTTTTCTATCAAAATGGGAATTTTTATTTAGTTTTTTTACAATATAATTTTATATATTTATCCAAATATTATAATTAATTCATTATTAAATATAAATCATGTTCTTTTAAAAAATTATTATACTATTATAATATTATTATAAAATAAAAAATGAACAATTTGATTTTTAGATGTTTTATTTGTACGTTAATATTAACTATAAAAACAAATAACTTTTGGATGCAGCATCTAAATAAGTATTAATCAGTGTTACATCAAACAAAAACAAACAATAAAGGAAGGGAGTACAGATGCTTTTTCAAAAAAAAAAAAAAAAAAGGGAGTACAGACGATGATGACAATGAAGGACTGAGAAGATGGAACTCAAAGGCAGTGCTGCCTTAACATCATCAGGGTAGAGAACTGTCGGGTTGGGGTTCTTAACCTCCTCTGTTTTACTTAAATATACATGTATTCTTTGGTTAAAGTAGAGTGTTCTTGTGCTCGACACTCATATATGATTTTCATTGTCTTTTGATTCCCTAGCTTAGGATCAAAAGATTGTTTAATATTTTGTTGTTGTTATAAAGTTAACATTTCCACAAACAAAAAAAAAAGCATTATCTAACTTATTGTGGAATGACACCCAGCTTTTATCTTTCAAGATAAAAAAGATAATTATTATTATCATGATGAATACGGATTTTTCATACTTGTGTGATCACGAAATCATTTTGCGCTCTGAGAATTTTCTGCCCTGACATTTTATTAATTACCACTAACACATTTCAATCCTATGTGCAGTTATATATTTTTATTTAGTATTTTTTATTCTTGAATTTTATAAATATTTTCTAAAATCTATAATTAAATATATGTTATTTAACAAAATTTTTAAATAAAAGTAAACAGAAATATAACTAGTTTGAAGTTATCTAAGCAAACCAAACTAGTAAGGACCATATTGAACAGGTAAAAAAAATTGAACAGGTAAAATTTCAGTTGACAGTTGACAATTTATGGGCAATTCTCCTAAAAGGTAAAAAAAATATTTTTGTCATAAAAATAACATTTAAATAATCAAAATAGCATTCATTAAAGATTAAAAAGACTAACAAGTTATTACTGGTGAAAACAAATTTAATAGAAGTATTTTATTACTCTAAATTTATAATCTAAATCCTAATTTTCGAACTCTAACTCCTAAACCCCATCCATGAAAATCTGAACCTAAATTTTTAGCCATTATATTTCTCATAGTTTGTAATGCATAATATCTAGTGTTAGAAAAAAAAAAGAATTCTTAGCAAATTAATTTTAAGGTTATATGTGTTTTATATCTTTTAAAAATGTTATTCTGGTCATTGTCTTTCTGTGTGCTATTTTTTTCAACAAAAACATGTTCTTAGTGTTATTATACAATATTTTTCAAACTATAATACCTTTTTTTAACAATCTCAAACCATATTACTATCCTGATGTTCTTATAAAAAAAGTTTCACAAAATCAAAATAATAAGAATTTTAGTTATGATGTCAAACATCTGTCTAAACACTTTTTTTGGTTGGTTCACTTGCTACATTTACAACAATTCATATACATTATTTGGATGTTAAAATCCAGTATAACAAAAATAGTCTATAAATTCAAGTAGATAAATGTACAGAGACACACAAGCAAGAAGACACTATAACTCAGCAGTCGACCAAATGATCAGGTGGCCAATTGATTACATACTTCTAGTTTTAACCATTAGAAAAGATCTTCGCATAGAAATTAATGCAAAACGTTGACCCATATTTTGGGTATTTTGTATGTTACCTTTTCGCAGGCATGCATTGGCTGATCATTTGCATTCGCAAAGGATAGTATAGGGTTGTGTTTGAGACAGGGCTTCAACAGTTCTGAAGAGTGACTTGTATTACAACACTTTCGGCAAGATATCAGATCCTTGTCCTACGATTTTCTCCGATATCGAGCTGCTGTTCTTACTTTGAAAATGCAACAAAGCTAGTAATAATTTTTTTCAAAAAAAAAAAAAACAAAGCTAGTAATAAACAGGGTGGCTCATCATGGTTATAATTTCCCATCTTTTGATATTTGACTAAGTACTAGACTACTAGTATTTGATATTCAATCTTTTAAGTATTCGTGCAACCACTGCAAAAGTGGTCGTGATTCGTCTTTGATTAATTACTTGGTTACAGCTACTTGTTGAAGCTGACAAATATGCGCGTAACGTTACATTTGTAAGGTTGATTATATGTTGTTTTAGACATTGAGCAATTAACCAAACAAAACAAAACTGAGAGAAACACTCGTAAACTAATACAAAAACTATTACATTGTTATTGTTAAGACTATATTTTTTTAAAAATAGAGAATCTTTATAATAAAGATAAAATTTGCTTCAATGTATGCTTTTATAATAGCACTAAGTAGTAAAGTACACAAGACAATACCAACAAGCCCATTACTATGTTATAAACCCATGTGTTGCAAGTGAGTTAGTAGTATAAATAGGATTGTAAGTATTGGAGAAAGGCAACCTTGGCTGCTACAAGCAGCCCTTCTCTTTATCAATTTATGAATCAATCTAAACTTATATATCTTGGTGACAACCCTAAAGTTCTAAGGTTCTTACGCTCTTTTATTTATGTTTCTAAAAAGCTCTGTCGAGCTATCTTCAATTTGCATCAATAAGGCTTTATAAAGCTTGAATCTTTCTTGTGTTTGAGATTGTCTACAAATAGTACTAATTGTGTTTCTTTGGAGATTGATCGGAACAGCCGATACAACTTATCAAAAGTATTCTCCTATAATAGCATTGCTCAAAATATATAGTAGAATAGAGATTATTGTTTCTTGAATAAATAGCACTATTTATTTTAAATAAAGAAATAGCAATGGGTTAAAATGAAATTGCTTTTATATGTCATAATAGAGAAAAAAATAACAATAGGTTGGAAATGTTCTTAACAGATTTAACCCCTACACTTGATTAGAAATAGATTCTCCAAAGCTGATTTCTAAAGGGTAATAATCATGAAGAGACAAGCTGAGTCAGGGTTAAAGGAGATGAGTATTGGGAATCATCAGATAACATAAAATCGACGATGGTCCGAGCAGCAGCTTCCGTGGGATGACCGTAGCGATCCCAAAAGAGATACTTGGTTCTGTCTGAACATAAGTTTGATACGGGAAAACAAGGAGAGTCCGCATTTAAATTGCCACTTCCACAACACGCTGATGTGACGTTAGCAAAACCTGAAATGCTCAAGAAAACGACAGTTGTTGTTTGTTGATCTTGTTTGCTTGTCTATTACTTTGCTTCTTATAATTCTAATATCGCTACTTAATTTGGTATGTGGATCATGTTTGTCCCCTCAATTTAATAGTGATCCCACTTAAGAACTTTCGGTTGCTTTATAAAAGATACTTTTCTACATTATATTCAGTACATGTGGAATTTATGTCTAATATTAAAGGTTTTCGTTAAATTGTATCCTTATTTCAAAATTCTTTTTAAGAGAGATTTTAATAATTTTTTTGTAAAACCTAGCATGGTATGGCAAAAGGTGATACAAAAAAACGAAAAGGTTTTCAAATAAAATAACTGGAAAGTCTTCTACCAAAGTTTCAATTATATATGTTAATTTGATTTACGTCTCAACATTGCGGTATACATGGTTTGTTTGGGTTTTGATTGTTTCTTCCTAGTTTTCATTAGTAGTAAAATTTAATACCCAAAATATACAACTTCATCACGTACCGTAACGAGCAGGTTTGGTGATAATGTCATGGACGGACTTGAAGTTATCAAAGTAAGTGTAAGTCAATGAGCTTTGCAACTCTTGTTTAAGTTGTTGCAACATCTTTACTAGAGCGTCGTTGTACATAGAACACCACATGTTAGACTCTTCGTCACATTCATGCATCGTCGAGTTCTTCACTCTAAGTCCAGGTGTGCAACCAATCTGTGCTACACCTAATATAAGGAATCTACGTGCTCCAGTATCGTGAACTCTCTGTAGATACAATTTCTCAATTATTATATTTAAGAGGAATTCATGCATCTAAATTAATAATAATACAAGTACCTAGATATATAAACTTTTCTGATTTTACCTTCAGTTGCTCTTTGAGCTTATCAGCCATTGATTGTGTATATTGTTGAGGATTGGTCTTTTGTCGAAGTTTGAACGATCCAAAATAGTCGAAAAGATCGTTGCTTCCTACTACAACGAAGAATAGAGATTTGGATAGGTGTCTTTTTGCTTCGGATGGTCCAAGCTGAATCGTGAGTTCTTTATGAATGTCTAGCCAATTGTTCACTTGGTGTGATAAAGGAATAGATTGCCTCTGAAAAAAACCATAAGATAAGTGAAATATTATTAACAAATTGTGGGGATAGCTCAGTTGGGAGAGCGTCAGATTGAAGATCTGAAGGTCGCGTGTTCGATCACGCTCACCGCAATACTTTTCGAAGTTGTATTGTTTTAATTTCAATTATATTCAGTTATACGGTAAAAGAAATATGTATTTTTGGAATCTACCGCTCAACTTTCCTTTTGAAACTAAAGCTGAACATGGAATCAATACTTTCTTATTCCTTTATTTTACTTTGTTTACATACTTTCCATTAAATTTAATATATCATGGGCAGAAAATATAACTTACAAGTTTTTGATCGGAACCGTTGAAGATACCGGCTCCACCAGAAGCAAAGTTCACACCAGTCACGGCAGCGGATTTTCTCTCCTTTTCTTTAAATGGGACTTTTAGTGATAGATACGGAGGCGGTAAGGGTAAACCAAATTTCTCAGCTAATTAACCCCAACGAAAAACACTCAAGTCAATGGTTATGCAAAAGAAATTCTGAACTTTATGCATATACATTGACAACTAACTATTACAACTACGTGGAATATTTTTTAATTAATGTTCAACGTCTAGCCATTTATTTTATGAGTGAATATATTTAATTCTAATAGCCTGCCGTCATGGTTTCTAAATCAAACCAATCGTGGCATGACATAGCATGCCAACACTATTAATTTCATTCCAAACCAAACAAAAAAATAGTATATATGTGACACCGTACGTATAATATAAAAACACTAACCGATAGCATCGGCGGCGTTTTTGCCGTTACAAAATCTTCCGGTGGCTTTCTTGTCAGGAAAATCAACACCGTTACGTGGATAATTAGCTTTGGATATGGAAATTGCTAAGTAGTTATTGTTTCCGGCATCAACCAATGAATCTCCGAACACGTATACTCCCGGAATCGAAGCTAATTTTCCGGTCGTTGCTTCTAAACCGCTAAATGAACCGAACCAAAGTAAACCGAGGGAGGTTAGAAAGATGGTGAGGGAGGGTGTTTTGTTCGTCGGCATGTTCTTTTTATCCGGTGAACGCTTTAAAGTGGTTTTGTTTCACCGAGGCTCTTGGTCTTGGTTGCAAGAGATATGTAAAACTTAGTGTGGTTTATATAGAGAGGAGAGAGATGTGAATATTGACGGGAAATATTAGCAAAATTAGAAAAATAATCTACAGTTTGGTAGTGTGAAAAGATGAAAATTATAAAAAGAAGCAGCTTCTTTTGTTTGTCTTTGTCAGACAGATCATGTCACATCGTCACTTGTAAATGGTAACTGGCAATTTCACTTGTGTGTTGCACCAAACACATTTATCTCTCTCTCATTATATTTCATGCTTAATTTTCTACGTATTGCTCTAATTGTATCACATATATATTAAGAAAACCATTTGAGGTAAACCTATAGGCTATACTACATATACATATACTATATGTTGCCATTTATTCAGAAAATAAAATATAAAAAATATTGAGTTCCACTAGTTTAAAAATTATATTAAATGTTTCTAAATTTGTTACATGTTATTATATTTTAACACACACACACATAGATAGTTTGAATTTAATATGTATAATTTTCACTTTATGGCTTAATCTGTCTCTGTTATTTTACTGTTCAACACTATAAATTTATTACGATTAGTTTAATAAAAGAATAGTTTGTAATTGCAAATAAGCTGTAACATATGTAAACAGATACAAAATATTTTTTGGTGAAATATAAAAGTTATATTTAACGAATTATGAGAAATTTCTATTAAAAAAACGAATTATGAGAAATAATGGTTTGAGAAAGCTCGCTGAATTCAATAAAAACTCGTAATAACAAGCTGGCATGTGATTGCATATTTTCTTATCAGTAGTGCAGAAAAGGTGGATGGCCGATGACAATTTTGTTGATATTTCCTTCCATTTTGTTCGCGTTTAATATGGTAAGTTATAAACGTAAACTGAAAAATAAGAAGTATATTAAGATATAATCAATTTTTGGATCCAGTCTGGACTGACTCGTGAGTTTAAAAGTTTCAAATCGTATAGAATATAGACAAACATGCAAAAAACATGATTTTGGATTTCATCTGATAATTTGATATGCATATATCTGACCATGTGAAATTATTTGTTTTCTTAAGGAAAAAGAAAAGAAATTATTTGTTTCCTCGCGAAATCATCATGCATAGTTAGTTTTTATCTTGCGAAAATCATCATATCCTCTTGAAATAAAAGTAGGGTTTTCCTTTAAAAAAGTAAGGGTTTTCAACGAAATGAGGGGGAGAAAGAGATTTGGTTTGATCCGACTTGTAATCATCGTGAGATACATGATCATTTTCAATTATTATCACTGGTCAAACTTTTCTTTCCTTTTAGCATTCCAAGGTATATAATAATATCTTGATGTATGTTCTTTCTTGCACTGCTGGTGTGATGTGCACCACTAAAACCTTCCACCTTAAATATAATTCAGTGGAACTCATTACTGGTTTGCTGATTGAATGATAGTGATATAAGCCAAGCAAAATGGACGACTGATGGACCTAACGCGTAATTACATAAAAGTAAAACTGGTAAGACAGAAAAAAACATAACTACAAAATCACCGGAAGATTCTAATTCTGAAATTCTCAAAATACATATATATATACATTAATATTATTATTTAAGTGTGAGATTTTAAATTTTACAGAAAAATTATTCAAAGTATTTCAAAATAGTTAATTATTTTTGGATTAAATTTCCCATAAAATTATGAACCACACAATTAAATACTAATATTAATATTTATATAAATATGTATTTTGAGAATCTCGATATCAGAATTCTGATAATACTCTAAATCTCTAATCCGATTAAGTTTGGTGGGTTTTACGGATGCTAAGTGATTGGACTGTAAACGTAGATGTTTAGAGTTAGGTTCATCGTCAAACGCGTGTTATTCTTCAATATATCATTCTATAAGTTATATTCATCCTCATCCGTGTGTCATGGTTTCAGGTTTTACAAACGTAGAATGTAAGAGCATGATTATCCCTTAAAACCCATAAGGTTTCTTAAATACATTTTAATGACTATTTAACTATTAAATTTTAGCTAATGATTTTAGTTAAAAATCACATAATTTTTGTGTTACAATGGTAATTTCTTAAATTGAGTTTCTTAAAAAAAATTAACTTTTTTTATTAAAGAACAATTTGGAGTCCAAAACCAATAAAACAACCATGGTTTGGGTTTGCTTGGAGTGTTCTCATTCAATACTAAGCATAGTTTCTATATTCAACTTATTTGGTTGATCTGATAATGAATGACTTCTTATAGACCTTGAACTTTAACCACTGAAGAAAAAGTTAACGGGTTTACCTCAAAGTCAGCTAAAAACAACTGAAAGCCTTTTAGTTTCTCCTTCATCATAGCATTTTGCTTTGTTGGTGCTGAATAGGAAAGCACAGCTGTCACCTCCATGGATGAATGACCTATCCTTCTTTGTACAACCTACAGAGAGAATAACATGGACATGATGAATGATGAGGGACAATATTAATTCTAACACAGCGAAAAATTTGAGAAATAAGAGATGAGACTCACATTATTATGGAGTAAGATCTCACATATGAGACTACCATCATCGACGTAGCATATAAACTCAAAAGTAGATTGTTGCTTGAACTGGAATTTCTTCACTCTGGTTAAAAAGCACTGCAAAAATGGATACTTAAGTTTCACAGACTGAGGGACTAAGAGAATTTTGGTGTTAGTACCTTAATCCTTCCTTGAACAAAAGGCATGGTATCTTTCATTAGTGCCCACTTTTGATCCATCTCGGCCAAGTGAAAGGCGTCTCCGGATTATATCTAAGAAACTATTACCTAGTTGAGAGGAATACATAACGAAAAACAAGACAAATCAGCAGGCTCGTTTACTAACCCAACCATGTATGACTTTGTGGAACAATTGCAGCCTGCAAAAAAAGCAATCCATAAGGTAGAGCTGCCACCACCAGGCTCAAGATCTTCACCACGTGCTTCACTATTCTTGAAACAACGATCATGTCAGATTTTAGGTATTACAGTGTTAAAGACATATAAACATCAAAAAGACAGTAATAAATAAATGCAATTTCACAATTTCTTGAGTAATGTGAGCTGATTTTAATCTCAATCAGCTACCTCAAAACTATAAAATTGAAAATGATATCAACTGTTCCACTGAAAATGATATAAATCAAACCAACTAGCTAAGAATTCAAATTCAAAGCTGAAAACTTTATTTAATATTAGATCAGCTGCAATCAGAATCGAGAAGAAGAAAATGATTTTGTCACAGGCTCATTCAGATCAGAGTACACTCTGATCTTCAGAAACTCAAAACCCTTGCACAAGTTTTCAAATCATCATCGGGCAACTTATTGATCAAAGCCACAACTAAAATCAACATGAAAACCAAGAACCATGGATGATTGAACAAGAACCATAATCAAAGAACACAGTATAATTAGAAAAGCAAGTTCCTTTAATCAATAAACTTCAAGAACCAATTCGCCAATAGAGTCATCATAGCAAAATCAAGAAAAAACCCTAATTGATTTTTCATGTGGACTTTGTTTTCAAGTCTGTGACGAACCGATAGCTAAGAATGAGGGAAGGGACTTACCGACGGAGAAGACGGAGGAGACGTCGAGTGGACCAATAGAGTCCTTGTCTGTCTTCGGATCCTTCGCAGAAGGAGATCACGAGAGGTGGTGAGAAAAGAAAAGAAAAGAAAGAGAGAAAAGAAAAAAAATAGATTAAATGGAATGCTGACACGTGAGTTGGAAAACCGTTTAAGGATCGATCACCAACTCACTAACTAAGGATCGGTAAGAAGATTTTTATTTATTTTTGATTTAATTAAATCAATCATTTAGCTTAAAAGCTCTGTTAAGGACTGCCGATAATCATGATCTAAGAGCATCATGGTTAATAAATAATTTTAAAATTTGTGGATTCCACCATTATCTTAAGAAGCATTTTTAATGTATTTTGTGTAAGAGTTAACTCTTACAAGGTTTTTTAAATTATTTGCGGGCCGTATCAACATATGGTGACTCGTGATTGGTTCTTTTTTTAATTTTTTTAAAGATACAAACTTTTAAAAAATTAAATTTTTTTAAGAACCCTTAATTTAGGGCTAAGGCTTAATGATGCTCTACTGCTCGTTGACTATTTAGTAGATTATTTTCTGAAGGCAAATATTACAATTTACTGAAATGAAACTGATTTTATCTTTTTGTTCTCTTTTTGGTCAAGAACGATTAGTTTCCATGATTTGAGGTGTAGTGGGGACTGTGGGAGTGCGGGACATTGACGTGTTACTCTACGCGTATGGAATTTTTGACTTTTATGTACGTTAACTTTTTTTTTGTTTGTCCAATTTTTACGTTAATGAGTAAGAAACAAATGCTTTCGCTTTTAAAGAATCTACTAGGATAAGATCCGCGCCTTGCGCGGAACGAAATTGCTATTTTCATTATGTTTTGGATAATGAAACAATAGTTCGGTTTTATTTGGATTGGGGTGTTCAATTCGAATATCGATTTGTTTTGGTTCGGTTCTTTTTTTTGGTTTTTGGTATTTCGGTCAGTGTGTTTCAAAATAAAAAAAGTATTTAGGTTAGTAAATATAACTACTATTCTAAATCTAATTTACTTCGGTTTGGTTCAGTTTATATACCGTCGGTTTTTGTTTTATTGGATTTTTATACCAAAAAGCATTAATATTTAGTTTGAGATCATATCATATATTATACGAATT